AGGTATTGCAGACTATGCCACCTCACCCTCAAAATGTGCATGTTCTGTACAAGCACTCTAAGTCTGCTCCCCTCCACCAACCAGACCAGTCCCCACCACTACCACACACACAAAAAAGCTGCAAACGTTAAGGGGAACATTGCTGCATACTGATGCTTACAGTTTAAATACAATATCTATGTGAGGGCCAACTAAAGATGTCACAGCTACGTGGGTTTGGTTTGTTATTTCTTTTCACAGTCCCATTGCCTTTTGCTGGTATTTAGATCATTTGGATAACGGGCAACTCAAATTAGAACTGAAGTGTTGCAAAGCAGCTAAAGCCATGCCTTAAGGGGGAAAAAACGAGAGTAGTTGAGTTTGTAAAAGTACTTAATATAAAGTAAAGAACACCTAGAGAGTCGGTTTTACAGGCTTGCTGATTGGAACCTGCAAATTTTGTATCAAGGATGCTGACTGACCAGCTCTATGAAGTGTTAAAGAATGTTTCAATATTCCTTAAGAATCTTAAGGCAATTTAATGGCCAATGTCAGTAAAAATATGTAGTTTAGGACTGTTTTTTCCTTTAAGATCCCACATACATATCAGCTCAGGTCCTGAACCACCACCCCCCAAAACAACCATGTATCTATTATAAATAAGCCATGGCATTTTAAAAGCCATGATCAATTTTAAATCCTAAATTAAAGTAAATTATATAGCAAATTAAAATAAATTTGACTTGTGTTAATCCATGAGTGCTTCTATTTGGATCTGCCTATGTCAGTCCCATAAAAGATTCATCTTCTAAGCTAGGGAGGGTGGGAAGGACAGGGGACCAGATGGAGGGAGCTGGCATACATTTCCATGCCTTCTTATTATAGTAAGTAAAGGGCCAGAATCTTTCTACTTATCTGTCTTTTTAATGACAACCACTAATGGCAGGGAAGAAGGAGAGCAGCCAATATCACCTAATAGTATTTTAATTACAATTGGGTAGCCACTTCAGGTACACTTAAGTGTATGTTAAGTCTGAAGTTAACCTTTTTCTCTTTCAAAGCTAAGATTGTTTGGGTTTTGGTTTTTAGTTTTTTTGATTTTGTTTGTTTTTCTTTCTGCATTTTCCTGTTTGATCACAGGGGGAAAAATGTGATTTTAGGAATGTTTTAACATTATAGCAAAGGAAAACAATTAGTGAGTGCCTCCCAAAAGGAGAGTGGGGGAAAAGCCTCCCAGATAGAGAAGCAACAGAGGGGAGCACAACCTGTTGTGCTCCACCTGCTGAGAACTGGAGTCTTAGCTGTCCAATAACAAGTTACAAGGAGGGAAGCTGGAACTCAGATTGGGGAAGAGACGGGTGTCCACACGCCTCCAGCCGTCTCTTTCTCTTTGTTTTTAAATGCTACTGCAGTGTTGTTCCTCGCTGTCCGAAAGGACCACAGCGTCTCAAACACTGATTGTCATCCTCAGTGGGAGAAAAGGTTTCCAATTTCATCAGCTGGAATCGAGTTGTGTGTGTACACTCTGTTTAAAACACTAGAAAAAATGCCTGTCCAGTGCAGCGATTTTTCTAGGTAGAAGATAAGCCAACAATTCGTCCACGATTTTGACTCTTCGTCCTTGCTGGCTCATCCATCTCTTAAGAGAATCTTCCAGGTGAAGATATCGGATTCAGTCAGATCAAGGAGAGGGGTCACTATGACCTTGAGGGGGCTCAGAAGTCCCCACCTAAGGTCGCAGAGCATACGCGCCGGATAAGAGACTGAGCCCTCGGGACCCTTGGTGCAAATTGCCCCCCGGGAGCGATGTGGGCACAGACACTGGTTCTGCGGGCTTCGGGCGGCTGCAGGAGGTAGTCTGGGAGAGTTTTTAGTCGTCTCCTCCTGAGAAAAGCTCAGAAAAAAGGAGAAATGGCGCAGAGAGAGCACGTGGGCCACCAGCGACTCGTCCTCACCTTATCCCTGACCCACCTGTCCCTGTCAACGCCACCTACCCCACCAAAGGGCAGAAGGTGCGCCACGACAGCCTGGCCCGAAGCGCGCTGCGGGCGTCACCGGTGCCTTCCTGCTGGGCCCCGGGCCGTGCGGGGAAGAGGCCGATGCTCCCCCCGGGGCCACGGGCCAGGGGGAACGCCGACCAGGCCCCGCCGAACCTCCAGAAACCAGGGCGGCTCTCCTCGGCCGTTGAAGCTCTAGTGACAAGCCCGGGAGTGGCGCGCTCGGTGGCGGGCACCCCTCCGCCGGGCGCGGGTGGAGGGCCAGGTCGGAAAGCCGAGGCCGCAGGAGACGGGCCATAGCTGACGCAGCAAGGGCAGTGGGGAGTGGGCGGGGGGGCCCGGGCCGCCTCTGGACCGGGCTCCGAGGCCTGAGCCGGCTGCCCAGGCCCCAAGCGCGGGTGTAAGAACCAGGCGCGCTCACAGCCGCGGCGCAGCCCGGAGCGGCGGGGGTCAGGACGGCTCCAGCCCGCGGCGACACGCCCGGTCCCCCCGCAGTCGGGCGTCCCGCGCCGCTCACGCGCCTCGCTCCGAGCTTAGCTCCAGGACTCAGAGAGGGAGCCCGGCCTTGACGCGGGAGGGGGCCCCGGGGTGCCCAAGACGACGGCGGCTGCGCGGGCCCGCGAAGGTCCTGCCGAGGCCTCCTCCACGGTATGGCCCTTCGAGGCCGGCCTCGCAGCCTCCGCTCTCAGGGCTCCGCGGGCCGCGCCGCCAGGGATGCGGGTCCCGGGACGCGCGCGCCTCTCTGTGAAGCGGTGAGGAGCGGAGGGCAGCGACGCCCCGGCCCCTGCGCCTCGGAAGGACAGAGAGAACTGCCTCCGGGGTCTGCGGGGGGCAGCAGAAGCTCCCCCGCTTTCTGCAGCCGGAAACGCGAGGAATGGAAGCCTCTGGATCCCCAACCTGGTGTTCTGCCTGCAGCCTTTACCAACTCCCTCCAGGCGTGGGGGACGGCACGGGTGAAGCCCCCTTCCGGCGCAGCCGCCGCTGCAGCAGGCGGGCGGCGGGGCACAGGGTGGGCCGCACCGCGCGGATTCAGTGCCGGGTGCCCGACGCCCTCGGGGTGGGGGACAGAGCGGCGGAACAAGGGTCACTTCTCAGCAAACCCGGAGTTCGCCCATTAGCGCCACTGCCACTGCCTCTTCCTGGAAGCTTCTACTTCAGCTCGGGGTCACGACCAAGCTGTCCTTGCCTGGAGAATAGGTTCAAGACCGGCAGTGCCTGGCCCCAGCGCCGCCTTCCTCCCCGCCCGCAGCTCGCGGGGCTTTGGGGGGTCCTGGCTCCCTACCTGCTAAGCCAAAAACTCGGACACCGCCGGCCAAGCCTCTTGGCCTCCGAGTATTTAGGAGACTTCGTTCTCAGCCAAGATGTCAAGGCGAGCAGGCAGCCGGGACCTCACGATCGTGTGTTCAGATATAAAACGTCAAAAAAAAAAATCGCTCTACTATTTGTTTTTTCATTTTACTTGGCAAAATGCTGTAAGGTTTCGTCCTAAAAACACTTATTTATAATCCATTGTTCATTACTTTTGGCTATCGTTATGAAATCTGTAGAGGAGAAACGAAAAGTGGCTTTTGATTCAGTTAAACTGCGACGCCAAGAAGGTAAATTGGAGGTCCCTTCACAGCTGGTCCTCGAAGGTTTCCTCGAGGAAAAAAAAATATGGTTAGTTCCCCCTAATGATCGCTCTAAAATGATTGCCAAGAAAACTCTAAGCCATATCCAGCTTTCTCGCCTCCTCCTGCTTCTCCCTGGTTTAGCCAGACTGCGCCGAGGATGGCGGAGAGGAGGCATATTGTGCAATTTCTTATTAAACACATCTGGAATATGCGCGCTCTGGATCGAGTGCCAGGGATTTTACAAAGAGTTTACGACTGTGACAGAAAATTGTCCTTTTAACGAGTTTACAAGCAGTAATCACAGGGGCTTTTACGGGACCGGCCCGCTCTGCTCCTCCCCAGATCTGCAGACCTTTCCAAGATTCACCAACCGAGGCAGCAGGAAGTAGGCCCGCGCACCCAGGCAGACAGAACTTCCACAAGTCTAAAATTATACTAAGCAGAGCTGGAAGAGCGCGGGGGGGGGGGGGGGGGGGGGGGGGGGGGGGGTAGTCATCGGAGTAGGAAGAGAGGGCATGTAAGAAATTAAAGTAATTGGCCCTTCCTTATTTTCCAGGGAGATTTCCTCGGTGTCCTTTGAAGCCTGTCAGGGTCATTGAAAGCTATCTTTGTGCAGGGTGTTTGTTTTGGGGAGTGAATGTGAAGAATGTGTGCAGATCCCCTGTGAGAGCCCCTCCTGCAGAGGGTGGCATTTCTCCGTGGCCCAAGACGTGGAGAATAAACACCCTAGTGACTTAAATAAACACCAACTTAATGATCCAAAACACTAACAAGGGAGATTGGGACCCTGAGCTCCCAATCCAAATGATGGTCTGTGAGCGGCTGTGTGCACATCTGTCCATCACAGAGGGGGAAAATGACTTTATAAGTAAAAGTGACTACAGTTAAGTACAGTGACTCTGTCTCCTTTGAACTCAGTCAAAGCCATCTGACATTAAAAAAAGAAAAAAAAAAACAAACTCCTAATAAGAAGGCCTTAATCCCCACTCCCCCCTACCCCAGTCTCCTAGATCAGGACAAGAAAGATAGGAAAGAGCAACAAAGAAATGAACATATTAATGGTGACACTTACGGATAGGTAAAAATCAAAATTATGAAACTGTCATGTCAGAAAATAAATAGACTCTCTCTGGGGAACAATATTTTACAAAGCACAAGCAAGCCAATCCTGTTATCCTGAGTAGAATTTTAATAAATAATGCCATTTGTTTCACTAATTTTAAAAGCTAAATACAAAGATACATCATTTTTGCCCCAGGCAAAAATAATATGGAGCCTACATGGTTACTGGGATTTTTCTGGACACTCTCCGGCAGCGCTGCAAAGAGCTCCCGTCCTGCTGGTCTGCTATCTATTTATACAGATTAATTCACAATGTTGCTATCCTTATTTGAGTTCCCTTTTTTTCTTTCCCAAGCAGATGAATTATTTTACTTTCACAGTCTTGTCATAAACTTGTTAATACAAAAAAGCTGAGTTAACATAGGAAGCCTGTGGAGAAGAGCTAGTGGTAAACAAAACTGCATATCTAAATAATAAAAAAAATAAATAAATACCCCAAAGCTAAATTCACTCTTTTTCTGTCATATAATTAATTCAATCACCACTCTTGGTTCAGGTGATGGCCTTCAAAGTACCCTGCAATTCATAATCACCATTAAGGAAGAGAGCAAGAAAACTATTTGTAAAAAATATATATATACATACACATATATAGGGCCCAACGACAGCAACACACAACTCACCTTTCAGAAACAGAATCATACTCCTGGTGTTCTACTAAGTTTTAATTTAGACTGGTTTAGGTACAATAGAAAAGAAACCTGAAAACACATGCTGTTTTAGTAACAAAGACCAGGTTGCCAGATTTGTCGAATATTTTTGCAAGCTAGAAACTAGGAACAGGAGAAACCCTGAAAGGAGGCTACAGATGACAGCTTCGAGGGCATGGGAAGTAATGGCATTCAGGAAAGTGTTTTTTCACATTGGTACATTTTTAAAATTTGCCATAAAAAAAACCCCAAGAAAACAAACAACAACCAAAAAACACCACCAAATTTGACAAAAATAGTTGTATTACTAATGGTCACGTCTATTTCTAACCGCCTCACATAGAGAGCATTAAGACATGTAGGCACTTGTTTTTTTCCCCTAATACTGTTCTTGCATTTCAATCTACATAAAATTGTTTAACACTAAATGTGAAAAATGTAAACTTAATTTTTCCCCATCAAAAAAAGTTATAAGGTCGTATTTTTCCTATTCACCTTAAGAATGCAACCAGTCCTCCCAGGCTGGAGGCTCTTATTCTATTTTGACTTCTCTCTCTCTCTCTCTCTCTCTTTCATTTCCTTTTCCTCTTCCCAAAAGATTTTTCCATAAATAAATTAAAAGGAAATAATTAAAATCCAGTTGATTTGTAATTCCCATCCACTGAAAAAAAGAAAGGCTTCTGAAGCAGGCACATGGTTGCCCGGAACCAGACTGGGTACAGGGTGCTTTTGTTTGTTTGGGTTTTTTTGTTTTGTTTTGTTTTTTTACCTGATCTCTGCACTGGCAGGGGAAATGCAAAAGTAGAAAGAGTCTGAGAGAAGGCGGTGACTAAGCTTGAGATCGCTGTTGGTTTTGAGTTTTAAAAAGATATTTGTGAAAGTCCACCATTCCTTTATGCCCAAAGAACCCCAGAAACAAGCTGCAAAAATGTTCCTGATTTCTATTTACAAGTGTCCCTAGTCGCTCCTTCAAGGCCTCAGTCCCTCCCCACTTAGGACCCCAAGTCCACCAAACTGGAGGTGAGGGGGCCCAGCAGGGAGTCCTGGAGCTGATGCTGGTGGGCTTGCAAGCCGTGGCCGGGCTGCGAGGCTGTTAGGCCCGGGAGAGAATAGTTTGAGCTCCTGGCGTGGCCCATATTGCCCTGCAGCAGAAGGACGGAGTTCTGGTCTGGACTTTGGGGAGGTGAGAATTCTTCTTCTGAGCTGGACATGAGCGGCTTGCCCCCTTCCAGAGGAGAAAGTTGATTCTGCTTGTTGGAGGAGGAGTTATTGTTTTCGGTGTTCTCCCTAAGAAATAGAGGACAACACCATATGGTTAAAAAAAAAAAAATGTAGGTTAAAAAAAAAAGTGTGAGATGGAGAGAGGGGAGCTGAAAGGAGGAAAGGGTCATTGTGCAATCAGTCATAGGCCCAAATGGAGGAGCTCTGCCCTCCCGCCCATCCCCAAGGGTCCTGGGGGAAGTGAGGAGGCAGAGGAGACTGGAGAAATGGGGAGCTACGACAGAGTTGTGGAGAGCCAGTTCCTTTCCTCTTCCAGATTTTAGAAAACCAGATCGGCAGGGTTTATTTGAAACACAAAAATTATTTTTAAAATTTTGTTCAAACAGTTATCTTTAAATACCTGTCAACTAGCACCACATTTAGAAGTAACTAAGTTTGAAAATCTTCCAACAAATAGTTGTTGGCGATGAAGATGATCGGGACAAACAGCGCCCAATGCACAGATGTTTGGAGTGAACCAAGTCAATTGTCCTGTTCCCATCTGAGGAAACAATTAAACGTCGAGTTTCCCTGCCCCTGCCTGGAGGTTGTGGTTTCAAAGACGCAGGACAGGTCATGGGAAGTGGTGTCCAGAGCGGCCCAGTGACCTGAGTAAACACAGGGAGCGGAGCCAGTCTCTCCGATTTCATGAGGGAGTGGGCCCTGAGGCCTGGCTTATAGGACGGCCGGTTTATAACTAAAGTCTAACTGGAACCATACTGTCCCTGTTCCCGTGTTACTCGCTCAATCCTTAGTTCCTCAGGGTCCCCCTCAGACTCCCCTCGGACATCCACAACAGCGCGCCCTTTCCGGGCTGGGGAAACTTCGCGACCACGCACAGCCTGCAAGCAGCTCGGGGTGCCAGGGCGCCAGGGGCACTGGGTGCTGTAAACGGCAGGCTTTCTAAGCCCTCGCCGCTTCCTCTTTCCGAGCGCTCGCCCATCCTGCTCGGCCCTAGCGTCTGCCTGTCTCCCCCTCGCTCTCCCCTTCCCTCGCAGTCCTTTCTCCCAGAGAGCCCATTTCAGCTGAAGTGGTCCAGGCTCTGTGCTTTCCCATCCAGAGGGGAACTCGGAGGCGACATCTTCGGCCCCCAGGCTCAGAAGCGAACAAAGGAAACCCAGGCGGCCGGGCGCTCAGGTTTCCCCAAACTCCTCGGCTTCCCGGCGCGCTCTCCCCGCCGCCTCCCCCAGCTCTTCCGAACTCAGTCGGAAACTCTACAGCCAACGGAAGGAGCCGGGCCAGGGGGCCGAGGGTGTTGGCGCGAGGAGGGCGGAGGCAGAGACAGGTTAAAAAAATATTGCCTTCTGAGCTCCAGAGAGAAGTCTGCGCCTCGAGACCCCTTCCTCGTCCGGGCGGCGGCGCGGACAGCCAGACGCCAGGGCCGCGGCGCCCGCCACGCGCGAGGGAGCCCGGCTAGGAGCGATCCTTTCCCGGCTTGGGGCGCCAGGGAGCAATGCAGCGCCAGCTCTCCCAAAGCTTTCTTTTCTGTGGATTTCTTTTGAAAGACTCCTTCCTTTGTACAGCTAGTGCGGGATGGAGCGGCGACCTCTCGCCCCAAAGACTAGCAGGAGAGAGCTAGTAAGGAACAGGCCAGGAGAGGGGGCAGCGCAGACGTCTCGGGCCAGCTCCACCCGCCCAGGAGCAGGAGGAGAGAAGGTCGCGACCCTCAGCCCCCGCCGAACCCCTTTCCTGGCGATACCAATCACCATGTCCCTTCTAGAAGGGACGCTCCACTCATTCTCCACTCCCCACTCCTCGCCCCAGCCAGCCAAGACATGAAAAACAAACCGAGCGCCAGTATTTCCCCACACTCACACCCCAAGAAACCCACGCGCGGGCGCTCGAATCAAGTGAGTCCCCATCCCTAGCGAACGATCTCAGAGTTCATGAACTTTCGCTGCAGAGCCGCGGAGGCCTGGGCGCCGCCCCGCGGACCGGCTCTCGCCGCCGGGGGGGACACGGTGACGGGTGCCTGAGGGGGCGGGAAGAGGCGGAGGGAAAAGGAAGGCTTCCCGGGGTCGCCCGAGCAGCTGGAAGCACGCCGCGTACCTTTCCTTGGCCTCGGCGGCCCGGTCTCTTTGCCTCCGGTTCTTAAACCAGTTGCTGACCTGGGTGGTGGTGAGGCCAGTGGCCTCGGCCAACTCCCGCTTCTCACGCGGCGAGGGGTAGGGGTTATGCGCGTACCACTCCCGCAGCACGCCCCGCGACTTCTCCTTGAAGCAGTAGCTGGTCTCCTCGCCGTCCCAGATGGTGCGCGGCAGCGGGAATTTTCGGCGCACCCGATATTTGCCCACGGCGCCCAGGGGCCGGCCGCGCAGCTTCTCGGCCTCCACGTAGTGTGCCTTCAGCCACAGTTGCTGCAGCTTGGGGTGGTTGTGAGGCGAGAACTGGTGGCTCTCCAGGATCTTGTAGAGTTCGCGGAAGTTGCCGCGGTGGAAGGCGACCACGGCCTTGGCCTTGAGCACGCTTTCGTTCTTGTGCAGGTGGTCGCAGGCGGGCAGTGACCACAGGAACCTGCCCAGGCGCTCCAGGTTCCCGCCTTGCTGCAGAACCTCACACACGCACGCCACTTGCTCCTGCGTAAAGCCGAACGACGGCAACATCGACATGGCTGGGGCCTGCCGGGGCGCCCTGCTCGGGCGCACGCGGCAGGGAACAGAGCCGAAAAAGTAGGGGGCGGCAGCCGCAGGGAGGGGGGCGCGGCTGCTCCTAACCCCCTCCCTAGGCTTTCCGTAGGCGAAAAAGCGAGTCGAGATTTGAGGATGGGCAGCCAAGGAAGAGGAGGAGGAGGCGTGGGGCGCGCTGGAGCGGCGGGCTTACTCCGCAGCCTTTCGGGCCTCGCTGGCTCCGGCCTCCCGCCGGGTGGATGCTGCTCGTTGCCGGGGAACTTGGTTTCTGTTCTCCCCGCAGCGGCCTTAAAGCGCGCAGTGTCCCCGGCGCGCTGATTGGCTGCGGGCGGCGCCTATCCGGGGCTGGCCAGCCCGCGCGCCGCCGGGCAGGGCAGCGAGGCCGCGCCGCCCAGCGCGGGGAGGGCCAGACTGTGGAGCCGGGGATAGGGAGTGATGGGAGGAGAAGGACCCGGAGAGGTGGGAAGCGGGGGGGTGGGGTTGGGGGGAGGGGGACAGCCGCGCTGCCAGGGGTTGGGGGATGGGAGTGGGTGAGCGCGTCAGGACCCTGCAACGTGAGCCCCCTTTCCAATGTCACCTAAGGGCAGCCGCGCACATCTCTGCACAAATCAATGACTCCAGACCTTCTAATTCCCCCTCCTCGCCCTCCGTACTCTTGTCCCTGTCCCTTGCAGACTTGCCCTTTCCCGGTGAGCTCATATTTAATTACCTTAATGTTGGAATGAATAAATAATGGATTGATGAATAGCTTACGGAACGGGATAAATAATACAAGAGCAGACCAGGGCTCCGGGCTGCAGCCGCTGGAAGAGTGGCTTCTCTCCGGGCGTACTTCAGCTGCAGGAGCCAAACCTAATTTCCTCTTCCTTCTTCCCCCGCCCCCACTGCCCCCCAAAGGGCACAAGTACTCCCAGCCGGATAGCGCGCCCCTCATTCTCAAAAGGCCGCGACTATTTGGGACCACGTGAAGAGCTGTTTAGAGCACAGTTGCTGAGCAAATAAAGATTTCGAGGGTTGATTTGTGATTTGGTATCTTATCAAATAAGATAGCTTAAGCCGGCAGGCTTCTGGACTCAGTTTCCCCATCTGCGCGGTTGCGTTTGCAGAGACTACTGAGGAACGCGGAGAAGCTTCACTTGCTATTAGCAAAAATGCTTTGAGAACCTCGTACGAAAGGCGCTGGATGGGGTGTAAATTAAATAAAACTGTGTCCGGCTCCAATAGCCATCAGGTTGTAACATAATCTTTACCCAGCTCTAAGAGGGACACTGCCCTCAAAGTGAGGACGATAGCGGGCTCCAAGAAGATTAAATAGAGAGAGTGTGTGTGTGTAGATTGCAATGCTGGCCTATTTTACTGCCAGAGAGTGAGAGATGTCCTGCAATTTCAGTCCCATCATCTGTTATTTTGTGTATGTGTGGAGAATGTTTAGTAAAACTGCACAAACAAATGAAGCTGTAATTATCTTAAGCCTCATTTGCACACCTTGTTCCAAAGCAATTATTAAAAAGATTTTGAAAACAATTAGGGTCTCTAAACAAAGATAATCTATTGTCAGTAGCTGAGACTGGCAGGAGATAAGAACAATGTGTGGAGATAAGGGGAGCTGAATGGTGGAAGGAGAGTGACTTTATGACTATACTTATCTCTGATTAGATAAGTTCAAAACAGAATTTTAAGTACACTTCAAAAATGCTTTTGATTTAAATGCACCCTCTTAGCGAATGCGAAGAACAAACTCCAGGCTCTTTAAACTTGCTTGTCTTCTTTAAATATGTTTTGAGTCCATCAGCCAGAGCCCAGCCCCACAGAACCATTTTCATATTGAGACATAAGTGAGAGAAGCAGCCCTGTGTGGGTTTCCCCTTGTATTATTTATATGGTTTTAAAATAATGCACCAGTGCACCCTGCAACGGACATTTTAAACTCATGAAGGGTTTCCACCTCCTGGCTGCCTCTCAGGAGATTCCAAGTAGAGGGAAGCTGCTTCTCTGCTGAACTCCCACACAATGCTTTTTGCATCCTTGAAACTCTGCAGTATCCCATGCAATTAGACCTTGGAAACAGATGCTGGTATTTCATTCCGTTTAGGATTATTTTTTTTAATGCATTTAATGGGTGCATATTATTTCAAAGAGCCCCTGCTACATGGTGTGCCCAGTGACTTACTTTCTTAACTAGAAGCTGGCACAGCTGAGCCCAAGCCCATGTGTCTGGTAATTTTCCCTCACAGTCTTATTTTAGTGCTCAGGATGTTTCAGATGAAGTCTTAAGGAGCTGCAGTGTCCTGCCAGAAGGAATGTCTCTGCTTGGAACAATCCTTATTGACATGGCAGCTGTGTGAGAACTAGAACGGAGGCTTAAACTCGGCTCTAAAAATCAGTTAATACGCTAAAGTCTGGAGCAAGTGTGCAGAATTACAATGTGCGGAGGGAGGTGTCTGTAAGTACAGCCACGTCTCTTAAAAGACAAACGGTGAGTTGAGCATGGGGTGTACTTTATAACTAACAATTTTGTATAAGGAAATGAGGCGTAGCTTGGACAAATAAGGGCAGGTATAAATTTACATGGGATGACCCGGAGCAGAGAGATGGCAATTAGACACCAATATGACCACCTTTTTTCCGGCTTCCCCCAGAACTCCCAACCCCCTTCTTTTCATCTGTCTTCAAAAGGAACTAGGACGTACAAGACGCTGGCGACAACCGGGAAGACAACCGTGTGGGTACCGTGATTGTGGGCACTGGGGTTGATGAGAAATGGTCCTCCGTCCTCGGAGGCCGTGCGCGGGCCGCCAGCCTTTCTCCTTGCGTTTAACCCAATAGATCGCGTAACTAGAAAGGAAAAGTGCTATTCGCTTGTACCAACGAGTCTACCTGCTATTTCGATCCCTCAGTTAGGGTAACCAAATGTTATAAATGTTAATTATTGGCTCGGATATATAAAGTTTCCCAAAATGGAACCTTTCACTGAAAACCACTAAAAGAGGTAAAATGACATGAATTTACAAACCACATAAACCAAATGATCCATTTTAAATCGCACACAGAAAGGTCTGAGTTGTTCTAGTAACTTAAAACCTTTGCTGTCAATGCAAATCACACGAAAAACAGAGATGCGTCGGAGATTTAAAGGGAACGAGCAACTCTAGCTGCTGCCCTGGCCGTCTCGCTGCTCCCGAGGGTAACGCGGCTGGCGAGGGCCGTCCGAGGCCAGGTTTCGGCTCCTCTCTGCCTCCCCTGTGCAGGTAACAGCCGGGCGCGCACAAGCAGTCTACGGAAAGACCAATGCGGAGGCACTAGTTGCTGCTGGAGTTTCTCAGCTGGGTTGACATAAGGCCTTGGTTCCAAAACCTCCGACTGGGACCCACTTGTTTCCTTCCTGGCTTGGAGCGAGATGCTTTGGGGCTCCCGGCCGGCTTGCTTGGAATTCCTTCGCCATCAAGAACGACAGCGGGGATCCTGCTCTATCTACAGATATTTGGAAGGGAAAGGCAACGGGAGGTGTTTCTTCAATAAATTAGCGTCGTCGCTCTGGGGCAGTGCAGACTCCGCAAATCCTGGCTGAAGTGACAACATTCATCTTTTTCCTCTGCTGGACTTCGGGTGCCCTCGACCCTTGGGATACCGGGCTCCGACGGCCGGCGCCGCGCGGGAGCAGCCGCCCACCTGCCTCCCGGGGGCCGCCGCTCCCCTCGAGGTCTGAATAGGCCGAGGGCTCAGGCAGGGCGATCTGCGGACCCGGAGAAGAGAAACCCAAAACCAGTCCATTAGTAAATGAGTTTTGTGTTGTCAAGGTTCTTTCCCATCCACTTGCTGTTCTGAAAAATAGATCACGTTTCGTTATCTTTAGTGGGAATCTGCAACGTGACACCGGATCCGCGCGGCCCCCGCCTCTCTCCCTCCCTCTCTTCCAGCCTCGCTCGGCCGGGCCGAGGGGAGCCGGCCGGCTTCCTCGGCTTATTTCTGAACAATGAAGATTTGTCTGTTCCTCTAACATATTTATGTATGGAGGGAGGGAGGGAGTTTTCTCCTGGAAGCGGGAAGCGCAAGAGCAGAACCTCCCGCTTCCTTGGTGCGAAAAGCCAGCGCCAGCCCTAGACGCCGGGGACAGCCGCCCCCCGCCCACACCTGGACAAACAGAGCGGGCTGCGCGCCCGGCTTGCTGCTGAAAAGCCCGCCGCCCCGCGCGGCTCCTGAAAACACAGTCTCCACATTGTCCCGGGGGCGGGGAAGGGAGAGAGAGAGCAAGACTGACTGAGGCACGCCGCTGCCAGGAAACTCAGATTGGAGAGGGACAGAACTGGGGTGTGTGTGTTTCGAGGGGTGACCCTCTCCCTCTGCGTGTGTCCCCCACGTCTGGTCTCTCTCTGAATGGGCGTCTCTTTCTGAGTGTGTGTCTCTCTCTGTGTGTGTCTTTCTATCTCATTCTCTCTTTTCAATCTGAAAAAGGAAACTCGTTCATTCTGTGTGAACCTCTGGTTCTTGTTCTTTCGTTCTCCCTTCTCTCTCTCACCCTCCCTCTCCCTCTCACTGTCTCATTCTTCTCATTGTTTCTCGTTTCTCTCTCTCTGTCTCTTCTCTCTCTCTCCCTGTCTCTGTCTGTCTCGCGATCTCTTTATTTCTCTCTCTCCGGTTCCCCTTCCTCCCGCACGGCTCTGGGCGCCTGCGCCTGTTTCTTTCTGCCCGGGACCAGGCGCTCTGAGATTTCACGGACAGAGCGTGCCGACGTCGCGCACCCAGGCAGCGCGGGGCGAGTAGACTCCGAAGTCCCGGCAGGGGCGTCGGCTCGGTCAGGGGAAAACTGCCATGCCAAGTGGAGGCGTCGTCAAAAGTGGGGGTGTCCACAGGGAGGCAAAAGACGGTGGGTTGGCCACCTGGGGGAAAAGGGCGGACTTCAGATTTGAGGCAGAAGATGCCACTCAACATAGATGCCAAGCACCTTTCTGGAAAGTGAAGCAGAGTGTTATAAGAATCTGTTCTTAAGAATTTAAGACACTCTTGCTCCCTTCTCTTTATTAATATTGCTTTAGGGCAAGTTTACAAAAAGATACTCTCCAAGAGTCCTTATTTTCCATTGAATTTCCAATCAACTTTTTTCTCAACTAATGTATATCCTGAATACCACATCTGTCTAAGCTAAGAAGAATTTCCTTTGGGGAGGTGAAAGCCTGCAGCTCCTCCTGTTCAGAGGAAAGTGCTAGTGACGGTAATGCAGGGTGACACTAAATAAACAGTTAGGGTGGACTGGAAAGATGGAGTTAATTATCCAGTG